CCTCCCCGGGGGGGCCGGTGGCAGGCTCCCGGGCAGTGCCGTTGTGGGGGAACTGAGCGACAGCAGCCAGCGCATACCCCTTGTCTTCGGGGGAGGCGTCAGCGCTGAGCTCAGAGGGTATTTCAGTGCCTTGCTTCCTTCGTTGGGGAAAAACTCCCCCCGAATCCTGCGTGTAGCAAAGACCCCGTCTGGTGCCTCTCCTCTGAGCACTGGGTAAACTGAGGCACGGAGCAGGCAGGGCTCCGGCTCTGCTGCTGCAGCAAGGGCAGATGCAGAGGCTGGCAGCGAGCCGGGGGGACCTGCATCCCGGTCCTGCCTCTCCCTCTGCTTCGCCCCTCTGACAGCAGCAGGGCGAGCAGTGGAGGCTTGCAACTGCTGTGCATGCCCAGGTGTCTTACCCACCTGCTCAGGGAAATTTCCGTGGGTGACCGAGGCAGGGAGTGCGGTCAGGCTGCTCCAAGGACAGCCAGAGCCTCCAGCCTCACCAAGGGACCGGAGGCACCGAGCAAAGGCTGCTTTCCTTCCATGCCAGCCCACCAACCCACCCCCAGCCAGAGCCGAGGAGGCATCTTGCAGCATTATTCATCTGCAGGGCCAGAGCTTTTTGCATCACAACAGGATGCTTGTCGTAATCCCTGCTTGCGTGTGTGCTCGTGTGTATATATACACACACACACCCCCCGTACTGTGTACACTGTACACGCACAGGGACACAGCATGCACACAGGGGTGCACACCTCGCTGGCCTCGCACAGTCTGTGTGGGTGCCCTGCAGAGCGCTCCCACAGCCCTGCAGCTCGCAGCCTGGGCCCCGGGGCCATGGCACAGCTCCCCAGTGTGTGTACGACTGCGCTGGTGCTGCCCATGCCAGCCAAGGCTCCTGCCACCCTGCCCTGCAGCCCGGTGGGTGGCCTGGGGGCAGGATGTACCCTGGTGCACAGCCTGCCCCAAGCACTGTGCAGGGTGCTAGTGCAGCACTCTCCCTGGGCATGCACCATGCCAGCAGAGCTGGTTCCACAGCGAGAGGAGTGGCATTCAGGCCACATCCCATGCTGAACCTTGTGCCCTGGTGACATTGGGCGCCCTGGTCCAAGAACCAAATTCCCCTCCAGCTAGAGCAGCATGCAGGCTCTTAGGGCAAGGCTGGAGCAAGAGAGAGAAGGGGAGCCCCGCAGGGATGGCATCGCTTGGAGCAAGCTTCCTGCCCTCAGCTGTCCCCTCTGCAGCAGTGACCTTCTGCCACGGGCAGAGGTAGCCACAGGCCTGGTTGGCACCATGAAGGCAGGTAGGGCCAGGACTGGCTGCAGGCCAGGACGTCAGCTGCTCAGGATGGGACTGCAGAGAGCTGCCAGCGATTTTGCGGGTGGCTCTGGCCTTCTGACCCTATGTTCACCCAGGATGGTTAATGGGGCGGCACAGCTCCGGTCCTGCCCCCCACCAGCCTGCCCTTCCCAGGAGCCAGCACTGCCCTGCACGAAGCCAGCGGCTTGGTAGTCATGGCCACTCACTGCAGCTGTACGCGCCTCCTTTTGCCCTGCGGGATGGTAAACTGAGGCGCAAAGTGATGGTGTGGGTAAGAACAGATGTGGGCACACTTGCCTCCTGGCTGCAAACTCCTCTGGATGGCGGTTCGTGCACTGCAGAAGCAGGAGGTGGCTGGGGAAGAAGGGATGGGAGGAGGCACTGAGCCAGCCCCGCCATGCCCTGGCTCCAGAGGGAGCGGGTGCTGCTGGCACTGCCCTTGGGGCTGGGTAATGGGGCAGAACCGATGGCAGCACCAGGGCTGCAACATGCACTTGTTTCCGGCACCTGGCATGACCGCAGGCACCCAAGTCTGTTTTACGATCAGTACATTTGCTTCCCGATTTGGGAAAGGGAGGGAAAAAAGCACAGCAGTGGAAAATAGCAACTATGCCCATTAAAGCACAAAGGAAACCTAAGCCAGTGTCACCGATCCAGCCTGCCCACCTGCCCGGGCACGGGTGCCTGCCCCAGCATCCTGTGCCAGCTGCCAGGCCCTGCTCACCTTTGTCACCCGTCAGCCCTGGCTGCAAAGCCCCCGGCTGCATTCACATGCAGACCGCAAGCCTAGAGTGTGGGAGTAGCATAGCCCCTGCTGCCCCATGGCCTTCCCGTGACAGCCGGCTGGCACCCCCACAGGCACAGTGTGTGTGCACCTGGGAGTGGGGAACCCTGCCCTGGCAGTGGTGGTGAGGGCTTTAGTGAGTGCCCGTGGCTGGTGGGGGCTGCTGGGGGCTGCTGGGTCCTCCCTCAGTCTCCCCCACCAGGGCCTGGCGTGGGAGGGGGAGGCAGGAATTCACTGCCACAGCGCGGCTTCTCCCCTCACCCCAGCCTCCCAGCCTGCTCCCTCACCCCAGGGCTGGGGACCAGGGACCAGGCAGGCTGGACACAGCGAGTCCCACACCAGGGCAGGGTACTGCTGGTGCTGCACATTGTGCAGCTGATTCTGGAGTGGAGGGCACTGGGGAAGGGGCAGGCGAGATGCTGGCAGCAGACTGCGATGCTGTACCCCCTCCATTGCCCCTGCTCCTGTGCCTGGGCATCAGGCTGGTGGGCAAGAGCAGCCACTTCTCCTCCCTACCCCATGCCTCCGGCTGTGCCTTCCCAGCCCGAGGGCATGGGCCAGACCTCCAGGCTGCTCCCACAGCCCTTTTCCCAGGCCCTTGGGCACAAGGAGGGATGTGCGGGAGGGGGAAAGAGCCTCCTCTCCTGCTCAAACGGAAGCAGAAAAGAACCCCCCAGCCGTCATTGTCCCAGTTTGGTGGACGACAGTGGGACAGAGCTGCAGGGACGCAAAGGACAGGTCAGATCCTTCGCTGGGGCAGACCAGCTTCCACCACGGGCCGACTGGAAAGAGAGCAAGAAACAACATGGGCAGAGCCTGACCAGATCTTGGAAGGAAACCTGCGTGGAAAATTACCAGGCTGCTCCCCTGTGCGCCCAAGCCGGGCTGCATGTGTGATGCCTGGGCTGAGGCTCTGGGGATGGTGCAGCACTGAGTGCCTGCCACCACGTGTGATGCTGTACAGAGCAGCCACTGCCATGGAGAGACTGCTGCTTCCCTGGTTGCCATGGACCATGCTGGGGACTGGGGCACAGGGCCCTGAGATGACACTGATAGACGGTGCCAGGGATCAGACATCACAGGGCACCGGTGAAAAACCTGACTGGCAGCTGGGCATTGAGTCACTGTGCCAGAGCCAGCACCAGCCAAACCAGCCTTACCAGCTGGGTGTCTCCAGCAGGGCGAGTGCCCAGCCTGGTCATGTCACCTTCTTTAGCTGGGATGAGGCAGCAGGAAACCTTCTTTGGCCTTGCACTGGGCTGGGACGGAGCAGAGGGCGGGGGGTGTGGGCACATTCAGCTGCACGGGGACAGGGGACATGGTGCGTGCCGGTGCAGGTTTGCACACGCAGGAGTGTGAATTTGCCCGTGTGTGCCATCACCTGCTGTCATGCACACATGCAGGTAAGTGCAGTGCACATGCTCCTGCCAGCACATGGGCACCCTCAGCTGCACTGCGCCTGTGGGGAGCCCCGTGAGCTGTGCTCCCAGGGTGCAGGCAGTGAGGAGCACAGCCCCTCAGAGGACACACCCCTGCCTGCACACGGCTGTCTCAGCAGCTCTGGCCCAGGACAGCTGAGCCAGCACGGGTGGCTCAGAGGGTCAGCAGCAGCCCTGCGTGGCACAGATGCAGAAACTGAGGCGCAGAGCAATGCACCAAGATTCCCAGGGAGAGCATGCAAGGTGCTGCGGGCTCCCCGGCTCGGCACAACCGGGCATGGACCACACACCTCACGGCAGCACAGCTTGGCCCCCCACCCCCAGCAGGCGCCACGTACCATGGGGTCCCGGGTGGGCACGTCGCGGTAGCCGTCGTTCCTCTTGCAGGGTTGGCTGGTGCAGCGAGTGCCCGAGGGTGGCAGGGCAGAGCCGAGGGAGCCCTGTGAGGGGCTGAGGGGGCCAGTGGGGCGGCT